GGTGGAAGCAGCTGCCAGATCCTTGCGGCCCCTAGGTGTGTGGGTGGCCAGGGAGGCTGTGCAGGCTGCCCCTGCCCCTAGTGTCGGCTCCGCACAGGGCCAGCTCCAGGCACAAGCAGGTGCGTGGGGTGGCCAAGGGAGAGGGGCGGCACCTGTGGCAATTCGGGGGCGGCAGGTCCCTTACTCCCTCTAGGAGCGAAGGACCTGCCACTGAACTGCCGCCGCCGATTGCGGCTTTTTTTTTTTCTTTTTTTTGCTTGGGGTGGCAGAAATGCTGGATCCGGCCCTGGCTCCGCAGCTTCCATTAGCCGGGAACCAGGACTGATGGGACCTGCGGTGGTGGTGCCTGCGGGTGCGAGGGCAGTGCGTGAAGCTTCCCTCAGCTCGGGGCTGCAGGGACCTGGGAGCCGCGGTAAGCGCCGCCAGGACCCCGCATCCCCCTCCTGCACCCCAACACCCTGCCCCAGCCCTGAGACCCTTCCAGCACCCCTTGCCCCTAGCCAGAGCCCTCACTCCCCCTGCACCCCAACTCCCTGCTCCAGCTGGAGCCCCATCCTTCACCCCAAACCCCTCATCCCCAGCCCCACCTCAGAGCCCTCACCCCCTCCCCGCACCCCAACCCCTTGATCCAGCCCGGAGCTCTCTTCCACACCCTGAACCCCTCATCCCCAACCCCATCCCAGAGCCCACACTGGCAGACCTCACCCCCATCCCACACCCCAATCCCCTGCCCCAGCCCAATGAAAGAGAGTGAAGGTGGGGGAGAACAAGCGACGGAGGGAGGGGGGATGGATCAAGCAGGGGTGGGGCCTCAAATAAGGGGCAGGGAAGGGGCGTGGCCTGGGGGAGGGGGTGGGGAAGGGGTATTCAGTTATGTGTGATTAGAAAGTTGACCACCCTGTCCAGTGCCATAGTGCCTGAACTTCACTATTAACACTTGAGGGTTCAGCAGAAAACAAAATTCTGTTCCAGAATTCAAATGCAAGTTTGTGGGTAAGAAAGGAATTGCTTTTTAATAATTTTATCTTAAAATACAGTAATATTATACTGATGCCCTGACCCTTCTTTCTAGCATTTGGATCTTATATATTTTTAGTACAAACGTTTTGTAATTTGTATTTAAACTGAGACGGTTTGGGAGATTAGTGTTTGTAGTAGGAAGGTGGTGGTAACTTCAGGAAGGTACAGGTTGATTGTCCAGAGTGTAAAATGAAATGTGGGAGTAGGCAGTGCAGTGGACTTAGGGGTTGGAGTGTTGGCCCTATCTGTCAACATTTTTATTGGGCAAAACACAGTGAGTTCCCATTTCCTTCTTGGGCTGCAGGGTGAGAGATTGCTGAAAAAAAATCATGCTTAGGAGAGAATGCAAAAGGTACAGGAGCAGTTATAGCCCCTGCTGTTATTTCTCAGTCTCTTCCAAAGATTTTTGCCCTTCAGCTTTCTTCTCCCTTCATCCCCCCTTTTAGTCTTTTTTACTTCTATCAGTTTGGTTCCCCATTTTTTTTATCCTCCCCATTCCCCTGCTTTCCTATCATCTTCTTTCTCCTTCTTTTGTTTCTCTAGTTATGCCTTTCCCTATTCCTCTCCCATTCTTTTTCCCCCTTCTTCCATCCTTCGGTATATTAAAGCCTTTGCTTCTTTTAAATCATTCTTACTGTAGTTGCTACTGGTCCACCAGTGGTTCTGCTTTATGGACTCTTCCATAGGCTCTTCCATAGGCAGCACTTTTTTGACAGGAGGCGCTGCTTTCTGAAGTGTCAATTCAGCAAAGCAGACTAATGAACTAGCATCAGCAAAGAAGAAACTGCAGTGAGGATATTTTAAAATCAGCAGAGTCTTTTGAAGGTAGAAGTGAATGGGAGAGAAGACAAGGCATTTGCAAGAATCAGTACAGCCCCACTTTGCCATAAATAAAATTGAAGACATTGCTTGCAAAAACAGGATGGCAGCACTGTTTACCATGCAACTTAAATCTTCAAAGGGACCCTTGGTTGACACCTCATCAAACTCTACCCTTTGAGATACAGTATTTTATGATAATGACCATCCTCGGGCCAAGTTCTCAGAAATGAATGATGATATAAAATAATTGCATCTATCTTTATAGTGTTCAAAACTGTGCATTTATTTTTGCTTCATATTCTGATGAATTTTTTTTCTCTCTGCCATGCCATTTTCATCTTTCAGTAACTACATTATAATTTATGTTTAGGAAAGTCTTTACAATAGAAAAATGTGTGATACATATGTTCTTATTTATTTGTTTGGCAGAAGACCCATAAATCAGCAATGAAAATAAGATTTCAGAGGGTTTATGTTAAGAAAGCCTTCACCTATTTAAGATTATTACATGAAATGCTTGAGTGGCTGGCAGAGAGCTGATACCCAGCCACCACAAGAAAGACTTCCTCTCGCTGGAGGCAGGGAGTAAGAAGGTGACTCGCAGACCTGGGTACCCCGAGAACTGTCACCGTCCTTTGTTTTCCCACAGAACTGTTACCACATGGATAGTGGCCATGAAAGCTTCCTGTGCACCTGTCTGCGCTTAAGATGCTACAGCAACACAGATGCGCCACTGTAGCATTCAGTGTGGACACTACCTGTGCCCATTGCTGTAGTTAATCCATCTCCCTGACAGGCATCAACATAGTGCTGTCTACACAGGGACTTAGGTCAGCTTAGCAGAGCTGCTCAGGGATGTGAATTTTTCACACCTCCTACCGTCATAGTTAAACTGACCTAATTTTCTAGAGTAGACCAGGCCTCAGGCTGTCACACCGCTTTGCCTCATTCCTGTTCTATAGGCTCCACCTCTAGGAGACACCCACACAGGCTTGATTTGGTCCCAAGAGAAAGAAAACTCTTAGCCCCTCTAAAGATTGCGCACACATACCCTCCTCATGGGTGCTTATCCTCCTAGTGGACTTGAGGAGGAGGGCTCTGTAGCTGATCAGTTGGACAGAAAGGAGCAGTATATGCTTATGCTCATTGGCTCCCATACGCTCAAGTAGGGAGGGCTTATAAGCCCTCCCCCCAGCCTGGGGCACAATTCTTTGCTGGGAAAAAAAGTCCCCCCTTCCCTTCTTTGGGATTAGAATGGAGTTGGGTTTTAGAGCCTTGCTGTAGGCATCATGCTAGTTGCCCTTTAGGGACTGGGAAGGAATCTTTTCCACATTGCCTGATTGGTTGGGACAGGATGGTTTTTTTTCACCTTTCTTTCAGCAGCCCAGGGGGACCTGGTGAATAGGCTAGGTTGTAAAATTCACATTGTCCCAACTTGGTAGGTGCTAACTGGAGGTCTGGTTCCCTGATAAACTGGAATTGGTAGCAGAATTAGGGGAAGGCATCTTCTAAAGAACATGGGGTATGGCAGCAAGGCTCCTAATATCTGCTACAGTGAGGAGACAACCCCCTTTCTCCATGCCCTCAAGAGAGACTTTTCTTAATGTTGGAAGCAGGAGTGCTGCAACGAAGACCAGAGAGAGCAGTTCAGGAGGGGGAAACATATAACTTTGGTCTAAAAGAGGATTTGCTAACGTATCAGTTTTCTGCTACAAGAGAATATGAATATTCAGCATTTTAAATTGAAATACAGTAGAACCCCTTTTTGCAAACTAATTGGGGATTAAGGAGTTCATACAATAAAAAGTTCATTAAATTGAACACCTCAACATTATTTTAGGTATTGTGCTTAGGTTGCAGTATGGTGCATTGCATCACTTTCCTCTTGTCCTTCAAACCACAGCAAAGCAATTTCCAGTGCATTGAAGGCACTGGAATGTGAAGAGATGTTGACTTGTTCTTCATCAACATCACTGTCGTTATGTGGGTTGGTTTTTTTCTTTTCCTTTTCTTTTGTTTCCCCTCCTGCCAGGAACAATGGTTCATATAACCAATATCATAAAATCAGGGTTCTACTGTACACTGTTTTGTACCTGGACTCTACTATTTTGTAGCGGTTGGGCGCCCCATAAAAAAAACAGAAAAACAAAGGTAGAGTGCAAAACAAGTTCCTTCTTCTAGTTTGTGTTTATTTTAGCGGTAAAAAGTTTAACATCTCCATTTCACAGTTACATGCTTATAAATTCTGAGAGTTATAGAAGGAAATGTCAGTCTTATTCCATTGATAAATAAAGATAAAAAATTAATTTGATCTTTTTACTGGTAAAAAAATTACATTCCCTAACAATATACATTGCTCTAATTGTCCCTTTTCAAATCTGGTTTAATGGCTGTGTAGTGTGGAAGTTCAAGATTGTTACTGCTGCTGATGAATTAAGATAACAAATAGAATACTAGGATTCTAGTAATGAAAGAGGTATAAGAAATTAATCTGAGTGCCTTTAGTGAAGAGTAGAAAACTGCCCATCAGCAGCGTTTGGTTGTATTTTCAGTAGTTCTGCAGTTCACAGTATGTAGACAGAAGTGAGATAAATAAGGATTTCATCAGGAGTGTATTTTTTCTAAGAAATGTCGGGTAGTTGATTATCAAGCCTCTCATGACTGAGTGGATATATTCCAGAGAGGGATTTGGAAAAGTACTTCAGATGTATAAATAAGCAGTCTCCTTGTTTCTGTCAATGTACCTTTGCACTACTTTTATTGACAGTTAATAGGAAACCAAAATACTTTGTTTGCTTTCACATTTTACAGTGTTTTGTACACTATTAGATATGGTACATCTCTGTGGGGACACAATCGAATTTGCTCAAGAGGATTTCCCACTAATTGATCTGTAGAACATTATAACATTCTCTAGTAGGCTAGAACATTCAAAAAAAAAAAAAGGCAGAAGCTGAGCTGAAAAGGTGCTTGTTACAAAAACATAAAAGCTTCCTTTCTGTCTTATTGCCTTTTCGATGTATGCATTTGGGATTCAGAGTAGAGAAAACTTTCCCACAGAGCTCTTTCTACCAGACCTGTAGTTGGTAAAGCATTTCTGATCCATGTTTGAATAAAAGGATATGACTCTTCATTTTTGACATTTTAAAAATATATATATTTTACAGGAGCTCCATGATGGCATCGGACGACAGCAAACTGTTATCAGAACATTAAATATAACTGGTGAAGAAATTATTGAGCAGTCATTAGCAGCAGATGCTAATGTACTAAGGGAAAAGCTGGGTAGCCTGAATTTTCGGTGGGAGGAAGTCTGCAGGCAGCTGGCAGAGAGAAGAAAGAGGTAGGTTAAGAACATGGATATTCTGAAATCATTTCTGGTTATTTCAGATTTTCTGTTAACAATAACATTGCAAGGAACCCGTTGGACTGTTCCTTAAATATTCATATTTAACTATCCGTAATTAAACACAACATCCTTGTTTACTTGTCCAATTCTTTGTTTCTACCCAGTCTCCTTCCCCCCTCCTACCCCACATAAACAAATGTCCTCATACTTCCCACAGCTAATGTTTAAAAAACACCATAAATATAATGTTATTTTTAGAAAAGCCGAACAACAGAATGATGTTTTTCATAGGTAATTAACACCTGAGCTCACATTTTAACAAGCATTTTAAAGTAACTTTTTACCTGATAGTGTGTCATTAAAATTATATATTAAAAAAGGTTTCTGTAACTGTGAGACTAATGACATTTTAGGGAATCATTTTAATAATATTATTTACTTTTCACCGTGTATGATATCTGTTTACTTTTGGCATTTCACTCAGCTTCGATAAAGAGAATAGATTAGTCAGTTTAACTGTTATTTATAGGCAGTGTACAGTCAGTTTTTCATTCTCCTGCACTAACATGATGCTGCAGTATTTGAGTTACAAATATTACAGGGAGACTGTTTTTCCTTTTACAGGAAAGGATTTCCTTTGAATTAAAAAAAAATCACAAACATTTCTATTGATATTGGGTTTTATAAAAGCTTGTTTTTTCTAAACTTCAACGTAGGACCAAAATTAACCTACCGTGCTTATTTCAAATACAGTAGTTTTGTTGCCAATCTTCATTCATGCATTATTTTTCAGAAATGAGCATCTCATGAATAAGGTACAATGGTGAGTGCGGTATTTAGGAGGAAGACCAATAGGCTGCAACAGTTCGTTCACCTCTTAAATGTCTTGTTGTTACCCTAAGGACTATCCTTTTTCAGTTTAGAATTGTGGAGAGGGAGGACCCGTAAAGATGTTCACATCCAAAAGGGAGTGAGTTGGGAATCCTGAAAGGTTATTGTTGACTTTAATTATCATTAAACTCTCCCTTGGAATTCATTAAAAGATGAGAACACCAAGAGTAAGCTGCTGCAGTTGGATGGCTTTAAATGGTTCTTTCCGTTGTGTTTCCAGGTGTTGATGCTAATGTTTCTTGTTACACCAGGGAGAGCTTGGCCTTTATTTATCACACTAAAAACTATTCTTTTGCACCACTGAAACCCAGCTGTATTTCCAAGCCCTTGCCTCTTATATAAGTGCTAACACTAAGGAAACAATAATGTCATGTTAATAGATCTTTATGCTGCTGCTGCAGCACATAAAAGGAGGTTTGGGGGTTTAGCTTTGACCAAGAATGTGAATTCTGTCCCAGTTCTGGTCAGTGGCAGTACAGCACTTGCATCTCCATCTTTTTTATTTCATAGCTACAAATGTGTATCTGAATGCCACTTTGGCTTCAGGCTCTCTCTGTGGTGCATTGAATTATTGAATTTCCTTACACATTCTCTTCAGTAAAGACTAATAGGATCAACAATCTGCTACCTGAAAATAACACAGTCCTATTCCCTAAATGAGCTACATTGCATTAACCAGAAAAAGCAATAGTACACTTGTTCCAGCTTTGATTTTTTTTTCTAGCTATCCAGTTGGGTAATTTTAAGTACAAAAAATCCTAGTGAACTAAACAGGAAAAAAAGGCATTGACATATAGTGAGAAAAGACAGTACTGTATCAAACTGGTAGGAATTCTTGTCCATTCTTGTAATGTTATTAATGACTGTCATAGTTGCAGGGATAGCTGGACTTTTGTCTCCTTTTTGGTCTCTCTGAGTGCATCCAGCTCAGGTCTTGGGCTCCCTGCCCTTACCTGTCCCTGGGTAAGATCTACTCTAAAACTGGGACCTGGGTCAATCTACCCTGTGTATACCTACCACTTACCATCCTGTGAGTCTGACTGGGTTTTGGGCACCTGCATTTCCTCCCTTCAGGGACACGTGACCAGTGATAAATTGACCAACAGCCTTCTTAAAGCAAAATATCTCTGTTCAGCAGTAAGAACAAAGCATTAGATGAAACAAACAAACAAACAAACAAAACAACAACAGAATCACATGTCTATCTTACCTAAAGTACTATATCCCAGGCTCCTTCAGGCATCCCTGTCGGTCCCTGTGTTTTGGTTATGACTACACTGCAGATGCGAGGTGTAATTCCCAATTTGGGTAGACTTACATGCTGTAGCTTCGCTCAAGCTAGTGCACTCAAAATAGCAATCTGGCTGCAGCAGCACATGTGGTGGCTTAGACTACCAATGTGAGTATGTATTTAGAATCTCAGATAGGCTGTATTTGAGCAGCTAGCCATGCTGTTATTTTTAGCAGGGTGGCTTGAGCATAGCTAGTGTGTATGTGCGTCTACCCGAGCTGGGCATTACACCTCCCAGCTGCAGTGTAGACATACCCTTTGGGTGTGTCTCAGTCTGCACCCTCAAGACAGTCTTTTGAAACCCTGTAAGTGTTCTTTATTCTCCAGGAGTTTTCCCCATGTGCTGTTGGATTTTGGTCCTTCCTGGTCAAACTTGTTCTGTATGCTGACTTGAGGAACAAGAGAGTCATTAGAGCTAATTGTTCAGGCATTGTCCCTTAACCATCCTAAAGTGGAAGCTGTTAGCAGACCATCTTGAGCCACCTCCTCCTTCCTGCCTGATCCATCCCAGACAGTCCTCCCTTGAGAAGCTTTTAAACCAAAATATGCATACAGAAAACACCATTGCAATGGCAGGCCAATGCACAATGTTAACAAATATGGAAGAGCACCCACATATTTGTCATGATGACATAATAATGTGTGTGTTTTGCAATTTCACTTCAGTTCTCAAACTATATAAAAAAATTTATTAAAAAAAACAAAAAAACTTGTTTAATTATTTAGACACAGTATAAACTACACAGCGTTTAAAAGAGAACTGGATAAATTCGTGGTGGTTAAGCCCATTAATGGCTATTAGCCAGATGGGTAAGGAATGGTGTCCCTAGCCTCTGTTTGTCAGAGGGTGGAGATGGATGACAGGAGAGAGATCACTTGATCATTACCTGTTAGGTTCGCTCCCTCTGGGGCACCTGGCATTGGCCACTGTCGGTAGACAGGATACTGGGCTAGATGAACCTTTGGTCTGACCCAGTACGGCCGTTCTTATGTTCTTGTGTTCTTATGGCCTGATCTACACCTAAAAGTTACGTCAACATAGCTATAGTGCTCAGGGGTTTGAAAAATTCACATTCCTGAGCATTATAGTTAAGCTGACCACACCCCCAGTGTAAACACAACTAGGTCTATGGAAGAATTCTTCCATCAGCCTAGCTACCGCTGCCTGGGGAGATGTGACAGATATGGCAATTTCCTTTAATATCTTTGGGAGATCTTACTGTATTCATGTTGTGTATCATTGTGGGCCAGGGCTTGTATGTAATGCTATGTGGGAGGGTAACAACAGCAGGAACTAAGTGGGGATGATTAATAAAATTCACTCAGGTTGTAACACCTCCAGAGAGGTGTCACCTGCTGATGGGGGGCTGCATATACTGGGTCCAGCTGGATTCTGTAAAGAACCAAGAGACACAGAAAGGACTTTGGTATAAATAGCCTGAGTTTAAACTGACTCAGAGCCTTCGTTCTAATCCAGCAAATGGATAGGACCTTCTGTCCAAGGGGAAGGACCCAATCCTTAGGGAAGGGTTGGAAGGACTGATACCAACCAGCATCTTTGTGGAGAAGAGGGAAGGGAGTGATCTGTGGTAAGCTTATTAGCATGCGTATATGTTTTTTATTATTGTCTTTAATATGTTGTCTCTGTAATGTTTCTACCTTAAGAATAAATGTGCTTTCGTAGAAAGAGTTGTGTGGTAACTTAAAAACAGTGAATAATTACCCTGTTCTTAGCTTTCAAAGAGAAAGCAAAGCGGAGACACTAGCCTGCTTATAAAGTTGGACTTTTCCGTGGAATTCACAGTGTAGGCAGGAAACTTGCTGGCTGGAAATACCCCGGTCAGGAGGGAGAGAGATGAAGGTATCCATCTAAGATGAGAGGCAACGGTAGAGCCAGAAGCTTATGAGTTGGTAACCTTGCCGGGCCATGAGGAGGGAATATGGTTGCAGTTGCCCTGAACTGTGACAACCTACAATGTTGGAAAAACCCTTTCTGTCACTATAGGAGGTGTCTAAATTACAGCACCACAGCAGGATAGCTGCAGCACAGTAGCTGTGCCTCTGTAGTGCCCATAGTGTAGACATGGCCTAAGAACGTCTGTGTTTATTAAAACATTGCAATGTTTATTATTCAGTGTTGTAAAAATTTCATTTTTAAAAAACAGAAAGACCCAAAACCTCAACAACAAAAAATTGCACCCCAACTCAATATGTTTTTTGTTGTTTTTTGGAATGTCTCTCTCTCTAAGAAGTATGAACGTAATTGAAAGTTTATTTAATATTCAAATTTTTGTATTCAAATGAAAGCTTCTTAACAGTCAAAAGGGTGAAAACAGATTTTTGTTAAGCAGATATTAACCTCTCTATGGTTGGATAGAAAAAAGCGATTTACTGTGCCTAGCAGATTGCGGATTCAGTTACATTCTTATTGGTTAAAGAACTGCAAAACTTTTTGTTTCGGAGAGAGTGTGTGCCTTTTTAATGTTTGTGGCACATCTATACTTATACAGTGAATCAGAGAGTACGTGTGTTATATTTAATTTCAGAATCAGTCTTATAGTTGGATGATTTGGAAAAGGAGGATTGATGACCCAGCATCATCAAGCATATTTGATGGAAAATGGAATGTCTTGCTGTTTCAAAAGTAATCAGTTTATATTTTTAATTGCTAGATTTTGACATTAAAAAAAAACCTACCACCGACGACAAAAAAATTGTTCTATTGATCTGAAGAACATTTCATATTATTTTAATTCCAAATGATTTGCACTTGTAACAAGTTTGAACCTCCCTGGTATCTATTTTGAGCTCA